GGAGGAGAATACTAAAAGTGTCATGGGCTGCCAAAAGAACCAATAGATCTGTTTTGGAAGAAGTGCAGCCAGAGTGCTCCTTAGAGGCCAAGATGACTAAACTTCATCTCTCATACTTTGGACATATTTTCAAGAGGGAACAGTCGCTGGAGAAGGATATGCTTGGCAAGATGGAGGGTCGGACAAAAAGAGGAAGACCCCCCCAACGAGATGGATTGGCCAGGTAGCAGCATTGATGGACTCAAGTGTGGAGCAGTAGTGAGGTTGGCCCAGGATTGGACATTGTTTCGTTCTGCTGTGCATGGGGTCGCTATGAGTTGGTTCCGACTCGATGGCACCTGATAACAACAACAATTGTTTAATATTTCCCCCCATAGAATCCCTTAAAGTAGTAACACCTTTTGCAAGGATGTTTGCTTTCTGTACATTCCAGAATGGACCGAAATTAAGCAGGGAAATACCAAAAAAGGAAATTGCCTTAGGTAGCTTAAATGAATAACAGGATAGTAAATTATCTACTCTCAAGAAAAAGAATATTGTGTTTTTACACAAATAATGCAAGAATTATATATTTTTGAAAACTGCAACCCCCTCTCACATTAGTTTCCTATATTCACTGTATATACGTGTACATTACTTGTGAAAATAATGTTCCACTTACGGAGAACCTGCTGTGAGTCCTATATTTTTATTTATCTGGCATCTTTTATCCCTCACAATATCTCTGTGATGTGAGTTTTATTTACCTCACTTTGAGAGGTGAGGAAATGTAGGTTCAAAGAATTTGCATAATGATTCAAATTCACACGGTTAATAAATGAGGAGTCATATGAGTCTGAATTGAAAGAGTAGAAATGTTTCCTTACCATACACTGGATCATGTCTTCTCCCAGATTATGCATAAGGATCTTGCTGGCATCCTCACACATATCTTTCTAATATAAGTAGCTATGTACAGGGTCGCTATGGGTCGGAACCGACTCGACGGCACTTAACAACAACAACAACATGGCCTTAGCATACACAGAGAGGAACTGGGTTCAACTGAGATATGCAGCAAACATCTACACCCTCTCCACACTTATCTATGAGCTCATCAGACATTTCACATTTATAACAATAGTTTCAAAGCTATCTGACTATCTTGTGTCTTGCACATTATTGACAGATGTCCGGCAGTACAAATGCTGAGGAGAAGTGTGGGGAGACTTGGCTGTGATGATGAAGGTGCTGTGGCAGCTTAACTTGATTCTCAGTGATTGATAGTTATGTAATGATGTTATTTGGCTGTTAAGTAGTGGAATCCTCCATTTTGTGATCTGATGGTTGTCCTCCATTTTTGCATAATGCTTGATTTTCCCATAATGACCGGGCCTTTAGAACTTAACCATGAGCATTGGCAACCTTCCATTTTCTTATCCATCAATCAAGGGGATGACTTTTTGAAAAGTAGTTTTGCAATGTGTGTCCATAATACTCTGAAAAACTGCAATACTCTTTATAGTAGCATTTAGAGAGGCTCTAAATATCTGACCACAAAAGCATTACTAAATAAATTATATCTAATTATATAATTACAACTCATTTTTAGTGAACAATTGTGTAGCTATTAAAAGTAATGTTTACAACAGGTTTTTAGAGAATTCTGTAATGAAAAATGAGAAGAAAAGCTCATTTTAAATTTTTATGAGCCAAGTAAAGAAAACTATAGCAAGGAAATATTTCCAAATATTATGAAGCAAAATATTTCAAATGCAATTAATGTTTCTGTGTAGTGTATTTTTTCATCTCTTTTATGCAGTTTATTGGTTAAATGTTTTTACGTATATGAGAGATAATTGGGGGGGGTCATGTAGAGCTAGATTAAGTGACTTCAAGATTTCTAGATCCAAATTTCTATCATTATGTGTGCATTGGTATGAATATTCTTGGGAAGTAATACACATAATGATAGAAATTTGGATCTAGAAATAGTTCCTGGTTCCGATTTTACAACCTGATTGAAGGTACAACTCTCAAAGAAACAGAAGCATTGCTAAGTTGTCCACCATGTAGTGTAGAGGAGACCTCAGGGAAACAGAGCAGTGAGGAAAGCATGGACCTCCAGACAGAACGTGAATCCTCTAGCATGAACTCCATCTCATTGTGCAAGGTTACTTAAGCACTGGAGAGACGTACATGCACACACCCATACTGGGCGAATCCTTTCATTTGCTCACCCGGCCAAATAACTATAATTGATATAACTCATCAGAAAATATTCCTCACTATATAAAACCAGACATTTCCAAAAAGAGTTAAGTTAGAGAATGATTATTTTTATAGAGTGCAAAGATTGCTCATTTCACAAGAGTCCACACTAGAGACACCTTTTTTTTTTTAGTAATTGTGAGCTGAGTGACAGTTTACATGGCAGAACATTGGCTTTACACCATCCTTTCATTGCAATAATTACAATCTTCTCTAGAGGCACTTTTAATTGTAAATTAAAATTACATTTTTTTGTGTGCACAATTTAGGACATCTGCTATGTAGCATGCAATGAATGCACTTGTATGTTATCCACAATATGATCTTGGGAAGATGACTATAGGTATTGGAGATTCTATACTACGTTGTTGTTGAGTGCAGTTGAAAGGGTTCTGACCCTTAAGGACCCTGTATAGGCTTTCCACGGAGCAGCCGGTGGGTTTGAATAACAGAACCACCTACCTTTTGGTTCACAGTCCAGAGCTTATCCTACAGCGCCACACCAAGAGTACATGTAAAATTCACAACAGTCCTAGGAAGTAGGACCCACTCTTAGCACCCCATTTTATAGCTAAGAAAATGGCAAGGTATGTTTCCAATCTGAGATTGTCCTGCTCTCCTCTGCCTCTAGAAAACCGAGCACTTTCTCAGGTCTGGAAGGAATGTCTTATTAAGAATGAGGTCTGTCAGCCCAATAACCATCTCTCCATTTTTCTAACTACTTATTGGCCAATTTTTCGCGTGTCCCTGTTAAATAGTCCTCATCTTCCAGAGTCAACCTTGATTGGCAGATCCTGTTCTGGTGTCAGGCACTAGTAGGGACCTTTGCACAACTCTCTGAGGAAACTCACCCCACCCAACTATGAGGGTGGGGAGCGGGGAGCGGGCCTGTGAACTGTAGACTCCCTAAACCCAAAGAGCGTTTAGGGAGAGTGTGTGGTCTAGTGATCCAAAGAAAGGGCCCCTCACGGTGACACCGGGATCACGGATCCTCAGTGGGGCCTTGATTATGAGAAAATAGTTCAGATCAACTCATCCGAGTATAAAGAGGAAGCAATACTCTGCCTATGACTTGAATCGTCAGAGTTTGAATTTGCCGGTCAGGCATCCTTGCGCACCTCGTATTTACTACCTGGAGTGTAGATGGGAGAAAGGAAGGTGGGCAAATTTGGTTTAGCTTTAAGGGACTCGCTCAGAGACTCACGGGCGGCTCCGTGGGACCGGGGGAGGGGACAGCACGGTGAGAGAGGGACTCGGGGGATGAGGAGCGGCCCAGGGCGCCCAGTTCCGGAGGCTGGGCTCCCTCCCCGGAGTCGGGCCGGGCTGCGGGACGCCGCCCGGGAGAACTTGGGGGCGCCAAGGTAATGGTCCTCCTAAGCGGAAGGCGCTCGCTGGAAGGCACCACGTGGCCAGAGCGCTTTGAAGTGGGAAGGCGCGGTGGCAGGGCCTAGGGCTGGGGGACGGCCTGGGGGCCAGCAGCGCCGAGGCTGGGCGGCCTGTTTCCGCCGGCCCCCGCAGGGGAGGAGGGGCTGGCCAGTCTGGAGAGGGCGGGTCGGACCACTAGAGCCAGGCAGTCGGAGTCAGGGACCAGAGGACGAAGTAGCATAACCCGGGGAGCAGCATGGAGCCCACCGCCGCCGACAAACTAACTGCAGCCGCCGCGTGTGGCCGGATCCGGGAGGTGCGGGAGCTGCTGCGAGCCGGGGCGCAGCCAAACGCGCGGAACCGCTACGGACGCTGCGCGATCCAAGTAGGTGCAGGTTCGCGCCGGCTGGCTACTCTGGGGACCAGGCTTGAGGAGGGGATAGGGACCAGGCGGCGGGTAGATTCTCCACCCGAGGGAGACTTCCTGGGACGTTTTCAGACGAGTTTGGGGTCGGAGACCTCCTCGTGGCGACGGCCTGGGGCCCGGGAAGCTATAGGGGGAAGAAGGTGGTTGCTGGGGGTGAGGAACTGGAGAAGGGAACATATGTGTGTTAATGTCGACCGCGGGATACTTTGTACCAGCCTGTCCACGAATGTTTGAAATAGGAGAGATTTTATTTAAAGACAGCTCTCTAAAGAGCGGATCATCTTCCTGCTAGAGGGAAATCTATGTAAAAGATCCACTGACATTGTTTTTTAAAACTACATATTGTGTTGATTTTTATTGTAACTCAGTCGGGAAAATAACATGCTTTTTGCAAAGAACTTGTGACATACAGACCTATGGTGGGGGTGGGGTAGCAGGGATAAAACGTGATCCCGCCTAAGACAATGTTTCCAATTTAGTTACCATCTTGAGACTATTTCCTGTTATTTTAACTTACTTGATATAGACCAATCTACTTGGGACAGAGTATTCAATTCTTAACTGTTGAGAAGTTCAATTTCTCCTTTCCTCTTACAGGGTGTGAATGCTCCCGCGCTCGTGCTCGCTCGCGCGGGACTAAGAGCGGAGCAGGGAGCGTTGCATGTGTTTTGCTTTCACTAACTTTCTAATAAATCTCGGACTGAAAACGAATTCTTCGTGGCAGGCACCATCCTAATTTCTTTTCCAGTGGCTATAATAAGTTCTGGTTCTGAAAGAGAAAAAAAAGGTGAAACAAATGCACTTTACAAAAACTCCATAAGACAAAGTAAAGTAACTGTACCTCAAACTTCACAAATGAATGTTCCTTTCTTGAATCTATGCTACAAAGAATATATTTTATTCACTAAAATACAGGTATAAAAAAGAAAAATGTAATGCCTTAAAACTTGAAATTTGTGAGGAACTGTAGTGGGGAGAGATCTCAAAACTAAAGAGCCTGGGTGATGGTAGAAGTTTAGCGCGAGTCTTTTAAAACTACTCGTAATGCGTGATTCATGATTTAACATCCCCCAAATGTTGCCAACAGCCTGATGACTGTTGACCTTGGAGTTCTGGAATATGTTATGAGAGACCTTAATTTCTTCAGATATAAAAAGGAAAAAGAACGTTTTTAATAGGAGATAAAAATATAGAGAAAAAGACAAAATGAATTAAGTATCGGACGTCAGCCAAATTGTTTTTGAAGACAGTATACTTATTTTACAATAATTATTTTAAAACCATTAGTTTGCGCTTAAGTTCTTATCAAATGGATTTTAAGCACCCTACAAATATTGGTTTAATTGATTTGTATGGTGTGTGTGTGGGGGGTTGCTATTATAATTTAAATGCATGGCTGTGGGTAAGATTCAATGGGAACCTTAGGGGAAGTTTGTGTTAATTAAACAGCTCAGAGAAGGAAGCTGAAAATGGGGGCACAAGCGCAAGAATGTGCCCAGGGTCTCTAAATGGTGCCTGTAGAAACTGTTGAATTTGTGTGTTTCTGCTATATATGTCTCAACAACACCAAAACCAATAAAAATTATATTTAATTGGGAATGTACCACAAAAAAGTAATAAACCATGGGTAATTAGGATTAACTCAGTAATTTAATTTTGATTCAAATCTAGAAAAATCTATTAAGGATTTTATCACATTATTATTTTCTCAATAGATACACGAGAAGCATTCATGTAAATCAATCAAGAAGGAAAGAATGTGCTATTCATTTAACAGTACTCAGATAAATAACTCTTCCTAATAGGAGTCCTGGTGTGATGCTGTGGGTTATAATGCACCAGACTGCAAAGCGTTTGAACTGCAAGGTGGGAGATTCAAGCTCACCAGCTGCTCCTCAGAAACCCTGTACAGGGTCGCTGTGGGTCGAAACCGACTCGATGACACTTAGCAGCAGCCACAACAAAAATGACATTAGGTCTGCATTGCTGAAGGTCAAGATTGGATATCTTAGAAAGGTTAACCACTCCCAGAAAACTCTTGATTTTAACTGTGATCATTTTCTCTCCCAACACAATCAGTTCTTTGTCTGTGTCTTTCCCTCCTCAAGATACTTTTCTAGTAGTTGCAATTTAACATCTATCAGTTATAGAATTTCAGTTTTTAAAGTCCTTAGCCATCCATCTACTGGTCCAGTAGACTCTTTTATCCACCAAAGAATTTACTTGTCACTTTGAGTACTAACCAGTGAATGCCAAATTGCTTCTTTTCAGTTTTTTTTTTTTCTTCTTCTTTTTCATTTAGTAAGATATAGAAAAACATTCTAGACCACTGCTTTTCTACTAGTCCAATTTAATAGGTTCAATTATTTTGAAAGTTCAAGTTTTCTTTTCTTAGATAATATTTTATTGTGTTTTAGCTGAATGTTTACACAGCAAATTCCCTTCCTCTTTAACAATCTTTATACAGATTTTCCATGACCCTGGTTATAATTTCTATTATGGTCAGTATTCTCATTATTTCTGTTCTGGGTGTTCTGTTTCCACCCATGCAGGTTCTCTTTCTCTCCTTGCCTTCTCATCTTTGCTTTTGGTTAATTGCTGATCATTTAGTCTCACGTAATTGATGGTTGAAGGCAGCACATTACTCACAGGTGATGGTGTTTTTTTTGTTGTTGTTGTTGTTGTTGTTTTTTAAAATAGTTCAATCTATTATTTGGCTGAAAAGTGTCCTGCAAAAATAGCCTTGATTCCAAGTCCAAAGGGTCTTTTTAGGGTAAGACTTTGAGGGCTCTGCTAATTTGTATTGATCTAGTAGGACTGTTTTTAAATTTTATTTTAAAATTTTGAGTTTTGTTCTATATTTTTTTCCCATTCTATCTGTGACCTCCTATTGTGTCCCTGGTCAAAACTATCAGAAATGGTAACCAAGCACCATCTAGTTCTTCAGGTTAGAAGAGGCTGTGGTTCATATGGGCTGTTAGTACCATGGACTAGTTTTCTTCATTGATTTCCTCCCTTTTGTTTGATCAAGATCTATTCCATGACTCAAAGTGAGTAACTTGGTTGGATAAATAGAAACTGTGCTGAATTTTGTTTTGTTTTGTTTTGTTTTGTTTTTTGGTGTTTGTACCTGTCATTTGGTTTATGTATATCCATTGTCCTTTTTTTTTTTTATGTCAATATTTTAAGTTTCTTGAGCACATTGTGAATTTCAAGTTCACTTGAGTAAAATAAATGTATCTTTAGGTAGCATGTTTTATAGATTTCTCTCTCTTTTTTTAAAAAAAAATGTTTTATTGTGAATTATATGATACTTTACATGGGAGAACATTAGCTTTAAATTCATCCTATCATATATCATTTCATTGTCATGGTTACAATCCCCTGCCCTCCCTCCCCTCAGCACACAGCCCCTCTCCCTCTCTGGGTCTAAACTCCCCAGCCACTCCATCTCTCCATGTTCCATTGTCCTTTTTAACTAATTTAATTGGTTTTCAATCTGGGGGCAGGATTCCACAATCATAGTATGTATATATATATATATTCCCCCCTTTTGACAAATAATTTGTGTTTAATTGATACAAAATGTAAGTAATTTGTTTTTGCACTCTTATCCCCAAGCAAATATAACTAGATAAAGCTTAGCCTAAAAGGAATCCTCCACCACTACCTATATCACATACACCCAAACTCTTAAGGTTGCTGTAATTGTGAATACCAATATGAAAGTCCACTTTGGAAATGATATTATTTCAAAGATGATTTAAGAACCAGAGGAGATGAGTTACCTCCTGCAGAAGAGTTCATTAGTTTCCTATTGCTACTGCAACAAATTGAACAGCTGAAACATATGCAATGTATTATTTTAAAGTTCTGGTGATGAGATGTCTAAGACGGAGCTACAGAGCTGTTTCTTTTGACAGCTCTAGGAGAGAATCCATCTCCTGCCTTTTCCAGATTCGAGAAGCTATATATATATCCCTTGGCCCACCTCACTATCTTCAAAGCCAGCAGTGAAACATTCTCTCTCCTCTCTAACTTCTTCTGTCATTTTATCTTCTCTGTGACTGTGACCTTCTTACAAGGATACTACCTGTGATTGATTACATTGGACCCACCTATGTTAACTAGGATAATCTCCTCAAGATCATTTACTTAATCATATCTGCAAATTGTTTTGTACATGTTATGCAATATATTCACACGTTTCTGGGAGATTAGGACACAGATGTCTTGAGAGTTGGGTATTATTCAGCCTACCACAGGGAGGAATTTTAAGGGTTTTTAGACAAACCCTCACATTTATACTTAAGGAAATTGAAATTAAAATTCATAGTAGCTTAATATGTTCACAGAAATATTCAATGTAAACCATGTGCTTAATGTATTGACAGTTAACACTCTGTAGTGTGGATATGCAGCAGTGAACAAATCAAACTATCTGTAGTTTAGATAATTTCATCTGACAAGGAGAAAAGAAAATACCAAATTGTTTAGACAGTGGTCAAAGTCACCCGCCCCTCACACTTTTGTTGTTGTCTTTTACTCTGGTGATGTTTGTCCCAGGACTGGAAAGTTTGGAGACTATAATATAATTGAATGTGTAGATCTGGGGAGGGGCTGGTAACTATGCGAGTAAAGAAAGAGTAACCCACACCTGTTAGTCTTTTACGCCGCATTGAGTGCCTAGGATCTCTAGCTCCTAGCTTCCTGAGTAACTGAGAACCTCTGTCCTCCCGTCAGGTCATGATGATGGGCAGCACCGGCGTGGCCGAAGTTCTGCTTCTCCATGGCGCAGAGCCCAACCTGGCGGACCCAACCACCCTAACCCACCCAGTGCACGACGCAGCGAGGGAGGGGTTCCTGGAAACGCTGAGGCTGCTGCACCGCGCAGGGGCCAGGCTGGATGTTCGAGACGTCTGGGGTCGCCTGCCCGTGGACCTGGCTGAGGCGAGAGGGCACCACGACGTCGTCCGGTACCTGCGAGGGGCTGCAGGGGACACCGAGGGTGGCGATCGTGCCCAAGCAGCTGCTGCAGAGGATCCAGCAGGTGAGGGGAGATGGCCAGGATGAAAGAATCTGAAGCCAGAGAGCTTCCTGAATTCCTGGAAGAGAAAGGCTGGGAACGGCAGGGTCTGGGGGCTTCAACTTCACACTCAGCCAACTCATGGGTCAATCCAGGTCTCAGAATCACGCCACTTTTCAGGCCTACAGATGAGGAACTAGCCCTAGATAGGTGTCCGCAGGGAGGCCTGGTGACACTGTAGGATAAGCATTGGACTGCTAACCACAAGGTCAGTGGAATAGTGCTCTGCTCCCTAAAGATTTATAGTTTCATCTGGGAAACCCTAGGGAACTGTGACTCACAATCACCTGGATGGCACTTTGGATAGTTTGGATTTTGAGGTACACACCTGAAAGTCCTTCTCCTCCTCTCCCCTGTTTCTTCCACCCCCATCACATATACATCACATTGCAGCTCAAAGCCTAGACTAAGAATAAAAACCCAGGAGGCTAGAGAACTTGGACCCCTTTTCTCTCGAAACTGGGACCTCAATTTCCCCATTTATGTATCTAAGTGGCTGGACTAGTCCCATGTTTGCCAAACCAGTTGTATGTGGTATCATCCGAGAGAGATTTGTCACAAGTGGAATTCCAGTCTTTTTATACAGCTTTACCAAAACTGATTTCCTCATTATGCGGTGGAATTTTCCAGCGCTCCGGCAGGCCCCACCCACTCCCCCACAGGGTTTCTGAGGGAGTCTGGGGCCAGTTGCAAGCAGCCTTCCAACTCTGCACACTGGATTCCCCCAACTCTCTTGGAGTCAGATTCTCCTATTTCAACCTTCCCCAGACTCTTCCGGAGAAGAGGTCTCTCTGAGCAAGCAAGATATGTGTTCCTCTTTGCCTTCTCATCTGTGACCACAATGCCTCTCTTTTCCCACCTACCCATCTGCCTTCCAAACCCCAAACAAGCAAGCAAACAAAAAACCCACTGCCATGAGTGATTCTATAGGATAGAATCAAACTGCCCCCTAGAGTTTTCCCCTGAATGTAACTCTAATGGAAGCAGACTGCATCCTCTTTCACCCACAGAGCTGTTGGAGTGGCTGGTGGGTACCAGGGCTCCCTGTCTGCCTTAGGTGCCAACTTTCAGAGCTTTCCTTTGGAGGAGTAATTTTTAAATCACATACCAAGTTTACATTCTAGGATATAGCAATCACTGGAGGTAGAGACTCAGAAATTCAAAGAGTGCATTGTTTTCGGGCATGAAGATATTGTAGGTTAGGGGAACCAAAGGGTGGACTGGAGCATTTCCATCAAACTAGAGTCAGAAGCCAGATTTTGTAGGAAGCATGGATTTTGGAGATTTGCTAGGAAGCCATGGGTGGGTTGTGGAGGAGGGGAGAAAGAGGAGACGCGATTGGAAATAAGGTTTCTTTTCTGCCGAGCCACGCCACGCACAGCCTTAGGTGGCACCCGCGAGCGAACTAGCAAGGGCTGCACCAGGTGCAAGAAAGATTACGCAAAGGGCGAAGCGGCATTTTGGAATCTTCAGGTCCCTGAGCCTGACATTGCGTTTGGTAAGCACAGGCGCTGTTGTATGAGGGAGCTACAAAAAGTTCTGGGAGGAAAAAAGGAATCAAAAGATAATGGAATCTTCCAACCAACTTTTTGAAGGCCTCTAATGGAGGGTGGCGCTGTAGGATAAGCGCAGGAACGCAAGGTCAGTTTGAACCACACCCACCAGTCCCTCCTCAGAAATCAAACCGACTCACAGCATTTTACAACAAATTTTATTCAGATGTTGTTATCTACCACCCGGCAGCCGACTGCGCTCTCTGTGCTAGGACTAGCCCAGAGCACGCAAGCGGGCAACACAAGGCGGCTTAGCGCTGCTGGATCCTAGGGACTCGTGGCTGGTGCCCTGGCGGCGGTGATTTTGCTCGCGGCGTCTCGAAACTCTGTGCGGATGCTTGGTGGATAGTGAGAGGGGTGGTCATGCCGGCGACTCTGTCTCCAGAGCTTTATCCCTGAGTACTTAAATGCCTGTTGGGGGCGTGGGGGCTGCTAGAAAGGAAGGAGAGGGGGGGCGGGGCCAGCACATTGGCTGTTAAAAGTCTGATGTCGATTTTCTTTTCAGCCGATCCTAAACAGCCCCAACATTAAGAGTCCGCAATCTTCAGTTGTATGGTTTGAGTGCTTCAGTCTCCAGTCTCCAGGAAGTCTGAACGAACCATTGAAATTGCAACCCTTTTGACCATCATTATCCCGTCCGGCCCCAACTTCTTCCCAGATTGCTAAAGTCCAACAGTAGATTTCTAATTCGGTACCTGCTTTCCCTTTCCCCAAAAAAACCTATAAATTTCCATTTCTATACCAATATAAAGGTTAAAAAAGAAAGTTTTGTTGTGTTTTCATTGAGTTGTGTTTCAAAGCGCACCCAGGCCCAGAATCTTCCTCTTTCTTGGGGCTGTTGATGTAAGTACAGCCATTTTGTGAAAATCATCTCCCAGGAGTGTTACAGGACGTTCTTGAAGTTAAACTGCCAGCAGAGCCAAGCCTGGAATAAAAACAGTAGTGTTCCTTCATTTACGCACTCATTTTAAAAAATAAACATTAAATGTCTATTTATGTGCTTCACTCCTGGTGGAGCTATGGATTAGGCGTTGGGTTGCTAACCGTGAAGTCAGCAGTTCAAACCCACCAGCCGCTGCCCAGAAGAAAACTGAGGTGGTCTGCCACATTTACAGTCGCAGAAACCCTAAGTAGAGTCTCTATGAATCTGAATTGACTCCACATGGAGTGGGTTTGGGTTCGGTTTGGGTATCATGTGCCACCGCATCTAGTGGGAATCTGGGAGACCTTAACTGAAAAAAAAAAAAAAAAAAACACCATCACGTGACTAAACTTGTTACTGTTTATAAAATGGAACCCGAGATTTAGTTGTCTCAGATACCACTTGGGGGAAAAAAAAAAAAAAAAAACCCGCAGCAGTTAGACTATAAAAAGCAATGGATTATAAAATACAGCGATGATAAAATATGAAAAACCAGGTTTTAGAATGATAAAATGGGATTTAAAAAACAGTGAATGGAACCATCAAGGAAATAGACTTACCGACTGCAGTGGGGAATGACCAAGCCTTGGGTATTTCGGCCAAGACGCATGGCCAGGAGACGTAGGAGCCATAGCGAAATGCGGGCGGGCGCTAGAAATCTGGCGCGGAGCTCAGAATTCAGAAACTCGGTGTTTCTCCGCCGGATCCGCGCTGCGACCTGAACTCAATTCCAACCGCTGCTGCAAGAGGAAGAAGCGGCAGTCCGCTCTGCTTTTATCTTCCTGTTCCTCCCTCCCCTCTCCCGCCCTCCCTCCCTTTTCCCCTCCCCTTTGCCCCCTCCCTTCCTCCTTCCTTCTTTCCTTCATTATTTTTCATTAAGGTGCAATTCACATAAAATTAACCGTTTAAAAGTGTACCATGCCGCGACATTTAGTATATTCATAATGTTATACAACCATCACTTTTATCTGTCTCCAAATAATTTTCAACACCCCCAAATACCCTCAGAGTGCATTAAGCCGTCGCTCCCCATTCTTTCACTCTCCCAGCCCCCGGCAACCTCTAATCTGCTTTCTGTCTGCAGTGAATTTACCCACCCTGATATTTCATACAAATAGGATCATTTATTATCTTTTTTGTGTGTATCTTCTTTCACTTCTTACAACGTTGTGGCATGTATGTATTGGATTGCCTTTTATAGCTCAATAGATACTCCATTTATGGATATATCGTATTTTTTATTTATTCATTCATCTATCTCTCGACATTCAGGTGGTTTACACATTTTGCCTGTTATGAATTAGGCTGCTATGAACATTCATTTTAAAGTATTTGTTTGAATACCTGTTTTCAATTATTTTTGGCTGTCTGCTTTGGCGTGGGGAGTCCTGGAGAGGCGCTGTAGGATAAAACACTGGACCACAATGTCGGTTTGAACCACAAGATCGGCCATTCAGTGTCACCAACGGTACCTTGGAAACCCTGTACAGGGTCGCTAAGAATCAGAATTGATTCCACAGCATTCAGCAACACCAACTTGGCGTGGAGTTCTGGGGTAGCTCTGTAGGATAAGCGCAGGACCGAAAGGTCGGTTTCAGACTAGCCAGTGCTCCTTGGAAAGCTTATATTGGGTGGCTGTGATTTGGAACTTACTCAAAGCACACTGACCTCGGGTAGAACTGTTGGATCTTATAGTATGCCTTGGTTTAACTTTTTGAGAAAACAACCAATGTGTTTTCACGGCAATGTACAAGGGTCCAGTTTCTCTACATCCCTGCCAATATTTGTTCCCTTTCTTTTTCCTTTTCATTAGAACCATAATGACAAAATCGCATTGTCATTGAGTTGACTAATCTATGATGATCACCTTGTACATGTCAGAGTAGAACTGTATTCCATAGGGTTTTCAGTGAAGTCCATTGCCAAGCCTTTCTTTCAAGGTGCCTCTGGGTGGATTTGAACCCCCATCTTTTGGTTACCATTTGGACTCCATTAAACAGACTATGCAACTATCCCCACTTTAAAGCTGGCACCTAAAGAACTTAGTTTATAGCCTAACATATGGTCTGTACTGGAAAATAGGTCATGTGCCCTTGAGAAGATTATGTTTTCTCTTGTTTCCCGGTGGAGTGTTCTTTATGCAAGTGTGTTTATTAGGCCTAGTTAATTAATACTATTGTTCAGCTTTTCTAGTTTCTCACTGATTTGTTTATTGTAGAACTGTCTGATTTCCTTCTGTTGTCAATTTTTGCTTCATTTATTTTGAGGACTCTATTGTGTGGTGAATATGTGCTTATAGTTATTATATTTTCATGATTAATTGACCATTTTATAAATACATATTCTTTGTTTCTTGCAACAATTTTTGACTACAAGTCTGTTCTGTCTGATATTAGGAGAGCCACTCAGTTCTGCTGTGTGTGGACGTTGGGTTGTTTTTTTTTTTTCCATGGTTTTTGAATTTTTTATTATTTTTCGCTATATTTTTATGCAAAATGGCCAGATGCCTCTGATGTTCCAGGTTAGTTCCTCATCAATCCTGCTATGGATGTGACTCGTGGCACAATCCCACTGGCTTTACATGTCTCCCCACCTTTTCCTGAGAACTCTCCCCTTCAATGACTCTGAGATTCGGTATCCCCTCTAAATACCTGCCTCTCCAACTATACAAAGCTTGTCTTCCCGTCTACATTCACACTCCTTCAGACTCCCTTAGCAGCCCTTTTGCTGCCTGCATTTTTTCTGGCTCCATAGTGCTGTGTGCCCTCAGGCACAACACAGGCACTTTATTTATAGTTCAGGTGCTTCTTTAGGGTCACATGATCTCCCTTTTGTAGCTGTTTGTCCAGGCTATATCTCATGCATACTGGGGCATGCTGAGGCAGATTCCTAAGGCGAGTTCTTGTCCTTCTTGTTGTTGGCTACATTCTGAGTAGGCCCTGACTCATGGTAACTCAGTACACAGCTGGATCCAGGGTTCCACTAGTGTGATTCGGGGTGGGGGTGGGGGTGGTGGGGATGTTTCATTGTTTGTTTTTACCAAAAGTAGACCGACCGCCAGGCCTTTCTTCCTAGTCCGCCTTAGTCTCTGGAAGCTCTGCTGAACTTTATTGAACATTAGAGCAGCCCTAAAGTGGTGGGTAATGGATGCGAAATGTTAGGATTCCGTTGGCAGTGCCAGGAGACCCATACTACCAAGACTGGCTGGAGAGAGAGAGACCGCTGGAGAGCTGGTGGGGGAGAGAGGGGAGAGAAAGAAGGAGGGAGGTGGAGAGACCAGCGGAGGTCTAAGCATAGCATCCTAACTTCCCCACAGGCCCTGAAGAAAGGCTGGAGGTAGGAGGGGTGGGGGGTGGGGACTTTCCCAGACTAACAGATGAAACTCGACTCGAAACCACTCAAAACCCAGCCAACACTGAGTGCTCTCTGTGGAAGTGAAAGAAAACACCTTTTAGATCTCAAGGGCATCTGGCGCTGCCAAAGGAACATGTTGGCAGCCTTCCTGGGTGTGCGCCATCTGGGTGGCAGGGTCCACACCCCGCGCTGGTCTCTGCTGCTCGCCTGTCCCCTGGTCGCTGCCACATACACCCCACCTGTCCTAGAGGCCAACTCAGGAAGGTACTGGAAAAGGTGGAAAGTGAGGCCAACCATCTCTTATCTATGATAGAAAGCCTCCGTGTCAGAAAACAAATGAATCATGTATTTTGACCCAGGTACTCTGGTAGCGTAGTGGTTACGAATCGGGCTGCTTACTTCAAGGTTGGCAGTTCGAAACTACCAGCGGCTCCGCGGGAGAAAGATGAGGCTTTCTGCTCCTCGGAAACCCTGTGCAGGGTCACTATGAGTCGGAACCCACTCCACGGTACATAACAA